GTTATTTTCCTTTAAAGCTTAATTTTTCTATCAAATTCCCGGTAGTGTTTTAATGTTTTTTTGGTTTTTAAAAATTGTTTCCCTATGGAAGCTCATCTGGGAAAGAACCCACAAAGATCTACAGTTCTGCTGCCAAGACATTGTTATAGGACTGCCAGATGCATACCGATGTCTGCAGTGGAGACTCAAGGGACAGCTGTACATATGTAAATGATGAATAGAGACATGTTAACAGAAATGCATTCATTTTCCTTGGAATGTGCATTGTTTTTATTTTGCAGGAAAAAAAAAGCTTGATGCTCCATCTTAAGTGGAAAATGAATCCTGTTTGTTAGCGTTTGTGAAGTCTCAGCATTTGTTTCACTTTCACTTCTGTAATATACTCTGACCCTTTGTGGAAAGAACTCTTCATTTTGTTTTGTTTTTGTTTTACCTACATGTAATAATTAGCTTAAGTGTACTAGTCTATCACCTGTGTATTTTTAGGGTGCTACAGAAATAATGAAGAAAATAAGGGGATTTAAAAAAAAATTGTAACCAAATTCATACTTTGTACAATTTTTGATATCATGATCAGAGGAGAATTTAAAAAAAAAGTACAATCTGAAATAACATGCAAAAATGGCCATTGTCTTTGTTTGTACATTGTATGTACAGTACAATGCAATCATTTCATACTTTAAATTGGTCAAAAAAATAATTGTGATTTTTAGTCTTGCAAAACTGTATGTAGTTAGATGATGTGACAACCTAATATTTATCTAATAAATATGTATTCAGATGAAACCTGTATATTAGGTGTTCATGTGGTTATTTTGTATTTAAAAATCAAATTATTTGACAATTGCTAGACATTTATATATTCTGTTGTAACACTGACGTATTCTCATTTGCTCATGTTAATTTTTTCCTAAATAAATTTACAAAATTAAGGTTTGGCTAATTGGCAGCTATTTTGTAAATCAGAAGTTTCTTTTTAAAACAAGCAGAATTCAATTTGTGTGTTAATTTGAAAGTAACTCTTAATGTATTGTATGATTTTGGGTGGGGGAGAGAAAGTGAAAACAGGGAGGGCCAGCATTTTTTCTGTGAAACTTTTTGAAACAAAATAGTCCTTTTCTTCAAACTGTTCAATAGAATTTTTCTGGTTTTCAGTGAAAAGCCACAAAAAAAATCAGTTTGAGGGGTTTCAAAGTAAAACTGGAAAACTTTGAAGGAAATGACATTTTCATTGAAAATTTTTGTTTTGAATAAATGCTCTTTGTTGATTACAAAACTGATTTTTTCGCCACTGGTTATATACATTATACTTCAGGTTTTATGTGGAAAAAATAGTATTTTCAGATTCTTACTTCATGACTACAGATAAAAAGTATCATTGAAAAACATGGAAAGTCAAAAGGTTTTAGGCTCCAAGTGTCACACACATTAAAGTTTTACCCTGTGCTTTTAAATAGTCCATTAAATATTTCATTGTAGAATCCTGGTTATCACCAGTTGTGAAATTGTACATTTGATCCAGAATCTAATGTGCTCTTGACAATTGTAACCAGGACAACAGGTGAGAAGTTACATATCCAGCAAATTGCTATATGATCCTTTTATATAGGTAAATGTAGAGCTAAGTACAAAGGAAGCAGAGTCATTATCAGATGTCTGTTTTAGGATGGACTTTAAAAATTGTAACTAATTCTTTAACATTAAAGACTTCTTTAAAGGGGAGGAGAAAGACAATGGGAGTTTGACCTGGTATTGGAAATAATTCCATGAAAAGTTTGGTAGAGAATGGAAAGGAAGATAAAAGAACAGTCTGGAAGCTACATATTAGACCCTGATTCTGGAAAACGTGTAAGCACTTGCATAACTTTAAATATGCGTGTAAGTCCAATTGACTTCAGTGAGACTTTCGCATGCGTTTCTGTACTTTCTTGAGATAAGGCCTTGCAGAATGCCAGTCTACAGCTACTGAACATGTAATGTAACATAGTTATTTATTTACTTAATATGTAAGGGATTTCATTACATTGTTACATATCTAATAGAACTGGTCAGAAAGGTTTCAGTGGAAAATGCTGATTTGATTAAATCAAAAATTGAATGGGAAAATAAAAATTTCATCCACACCTTCAATCAGAAATTTTCAAAAGATTTCATTTTGACAGTTTTTTTACTTACATTGTAATACAATCTGTAGTATACTAACTGTTCAAACAATCATGTAGAAACAAAGTCTTTTGACCTTATCAACACAAAACATTTATAGACGGTCAAGTACAATGTTACAAAATCTTAATTTTGCAAAAAATTCCAAGATTGTAATTTTCTGGGATGACATAAAACAAAATCTTGGAATTTCTCACGAGATAAAGGCTCTGTTTTTGACCAGTTATTACATGT